CCCGCTCAAAACTATATATTGCCAGATCTCAGGGAAAAAACTGTGGATATCTTTTGGATCAAGGAACACGTGGGAAATCGAGGCAGTGAATGCGCATATTAACTAGCCAAGAATTCCGCCCTACCGCTCAAAAAGGCTCCAAACTGTGATAGAAGCCCGATCTGATTCATCAAGAGAAAAATTCGAAAGGACTCACATGAGGAATTGGAGATACAAGTCCGCTGACACCGCCGCCGTGACAGAAATATTTTTCTTTGACGTGGTGACATCTTATAGGGTGATCCGAGGACAGAAATGGCAGTCAACAAGTGCCAGCTGCTGACGGTATACGGTGTGTTCTCCATATTTTTTCTCCATATTTTCTTAGATTCAGCTGTAAGGACAGCCAGTCGTGTGCCTGTGAACCGGGAAAGAAGGAACGGTCCTGAGTATTGTCTCCTTTGAGTGTCTATCAACAGCCGACAAAGATTAGCCTTCGCGCATGAGCTGAGTGTCCCGATAAACCCAAGAAATTTAAGTGAATTGATGACGCTGCAAAATAGAAATTGATGAAAAAGAACAGAACGTTACGAAATATTTTAACTTGTACCTACTGAATTTATTTGAACTCTGTTAAAATGTTGAATTTCAATTAGATTTTACTTAAATTATATGTTTAAAATTAAATACAACTTTTACAAATCTATACAAATATTATAATATAAAGCTGAAAAGTTTGTTTGTTTGTTTGTTCGTTTGAACGTGCTAATCTCAGGAACTACTGGTCCGTTTTGAAAAAATATTTCAGTGTTAGGTAGCCAATTTATTGAGGAAGGCTATAGGCTATATTACATCTCTCAAAGATAAGAGTACTAATAAAGAATGTTTCAAAATCGGTTTTTTTTCCCTTTTGAGAGCTTCCGCTGCGGAAACGGTTAAAGTTTCGCTAAAATAATGTATGAAACAATTGTTAACCTTTAAAAGATTTCAAAACAAGATTTCAAAGGCTTTGACAACTATAGATTTTTTTGGATATCTCCAGGATCCCATCATCAGATCTTGATGATTACAGGAACATTCGGGAAGCCTACCCTTTCGAACAAAAAAAGTTTTTTTTATCAGAATCGGTTTAAGCATTCTCGAGAAATCGGTGAACATAAATAGATAAAAAATTATGGTCGAATATGATAACTTCCTCTTTTGAAGTTTGGCACCTTAAATAGCTCCTTAACATTCTGTTATTCAAAAATATTTTCACTCTCTACGTAAATGAGGAGGTGGGTAAAATTTAGCGTTATGCCAAAGTAACTATTCCACGCGGACGAAGTCGCGAGCAAAAGCTAGGGATTTAAATAAAGGGAAAGTAACTGCTAGACCACATTCTTTACAATACACATTGTTACGCTGCGTGTACATTAAAAAGAAGGTAATATTAAGTAATTAGTGAAGGCGCAATAATACAATTTATATAATATGTATACATACTATTTGCAAAAGTAAGTTTTAAATATTAGAAACCAAACGAACACACTTAGCCAGGTTGTTTGACTTCGTCGTCAACAGATGTCACTGCTCTGAAAATATTCAACCTATCCAAATGTCCTTATGTCATTGTAGTCAATAGAAAGGAGTTTTCACCTATTCATTGTCGCGGTAACTACAATGCCCGAGTACCACAATATTTTTCAAGTTTACCCTTCGAAAGAAAGAGGTCTGCTAAAAGCGAAATTAAATTAGTGACTAATTAATTCATTCGCTAGTAAAAGGGTACAATATTTTCTATTGTGTTAAAAATTACTAAATACAAGATTATATGTCGTATTCAATATAATGATTGTTGTAGAAATGTCCGGTCGGGCAATCAACGCTCATATGCGGTACTGACTTTTATTATTAACTTAATTGTTATGTGTTTAAAATACTTTACCTGGAAGATATTTTAGTAATACATTTTTTTTGAGTCAGCAGGAAATCCAGCATTGTGCTTGGGAAAACAGCAATAGCAAACCTTCCTCTCCAGACCAAGCCCTTATTCTCGGCCATCTGTCTTTACCAAGTGGCAAGGTATCTTCCATTGCAAAAATGTTATCAAATTAATTTATTTAAATCTAGGGCGCATCAAGGAAATTATTCATTTTTTAAAGAAATCCGATGAATAATGCAAATAGCGCTATGAAATGAAATTTTATACACAATTAATATAATTTAAATACATTATACTCGTAAAAATGCTATTGGTATAAATTTCAACATTTAATGCGTAGTAATAATTTGAAAATAGTTTAGCAAAACAAGATTGCGTTCCGATTCTGTACTAGATTGTTCCACGAACGGTCTCATTACACCCTATATGAATATGCTACCATGACGCGCTTTTTATTCAATCTCTCTTTTATTTGTACTAATAATACGGATCGATCTGAATATCCGGTTTCAAAAAAGAAACGTTTAAACAAAACTCGTTTGTCGCCCGATCGAAATTCAGTCCGTTCTTTTCTTTTTATTTTTTACAGCACTCTTCAGCAGCGCTCGGGCACAACTGTAAAACAAAACTGGCGAGTTGATTGTCTTCTCTGTTCGTTTAACCATTTTTTTACAGTGTGAATGGAATTCCCGAGTTTCCCGCCATTTATTTATGGTTGTTGGAATTTTCACAAAATGTTAACAAGAATCGAACATTTACTTTTTTTTTTCCTTATGTAGTTTCAATGACAACCTATTGATAACAAAATGTGGATTAAAAAAATAATTCTTTGCTTACACAAAAATATAGAACTTGTTACGTTGAAAAAAAATATTGTTAATACGCTACAATAAGACCGAGCAGCACAGAGGCAGCTGTGGGCTGAGTGATACAAAGATCAGCAGTAAGATTCCGATGAAACGTGGTTAATGAGGACGCAGATAATTAACAGTTGCGATACTCTTTTTGGTCATCAGAGAGTGTGATAGGAACTGTTACACTCGACTTGATAAAATATGATCGATCTACAATAATCTGCATACATCTACAACAGTCTACACTAATATTTGTATCAGTGGGAAATGTGTTTCGTTTGAACGCATTAACTTGATGTAATATCGTCGTCACAAGAACTGCTCTAGTCTGATTTTATTGAAGTCATAAAAGTTATTTGTTTTATCTTGTATTCTAAATCGTATGAAAAGGTTATCATTGTAAGCAAACCTCTCCTTTCCAACTTTCGTAATTGATGGGGAAAACAGTAAAAAAAATTCAATCCACATTTTTTATGTTCATTTTGTTAACACGGTATACATATCTGAAGTGATTTCCGTGGCTTATGACCAGAAGTCGGAAGTAGGTAGATTGATTTAAGGTCGTTGACGTCAAACGTAGAGGATAATATTGATATGCCTCCAAAATACTGGAACATCATATTTATTTTGATATTTGTTCCGGAATTTCGAAATTAGCATAAATCTGTGTTTGAGGTGAAAAACGTATTAATAATATCAATCTACACTGCCGGCGTTAGCTAATGGTGAAAAAAAACATTACTTTATTTTATACAAAAACACCTTGGAATAGTTACACCGTATTTTGTCTCTTTCTGTTGAATTAGAAAAGACACTTGTCAGTATGAGGCAAAACTTAAACAGGGCTTTTTGATACTTTATCTCATGTTCATCTATGTTCACAACGTATCGACCGCACGCAACGACCAATCAGAAGCAAGTATCCTGTATGACTCATTGGGTGTTTGTTAGAAAAATCGATGCGCGTGCGCTGTGTTCCAGGTATCTCACTCGCTTACCTCGATTCGTAGAGTGCGCTGCTAACGTAGTTCAAATCCGGGAACTTGTTCCGGTACTTCCCGCACATTATGGATAAAATGGCATGTCCATATTATAATATCTTGACGCAAGTATATAAAATCATTCTACCTACTCCGACCACTACTTATGACATTTAAATAAGAAACTCAGTTTTTATAAGAGTTTGCTCGAGGCTAATGAATAGTGTTAGAAGCTGCATTTCTAGTAGATTTCAAAAACATTTGCATTGTTTCATTTTTTAGATTACCTACAAATTACATATCTAATAATAACTATTCTGCAGTTTGTGCTGTTTATTAGATTATGCATTTTTTCTAGTAACTGCTACATACCTTTGAACTTGGATAATACAACTGACATTATTCAAACAAAAAACAGTAAGTGCTTAGTAAACTCTGTGGCTTTCACGGGTAGAAGTAATAATTTTAATAGTAAATAATAAAACGAAAATAAATAAAGTGAAAATAATAAATAAAAAAAGTTAACCGTAGGTAAGTGGCGAAACAGCAAAAATCCCAAAGGATCGAATTTTTTATTCCCAAATTTGTGGGATAAGCAGGTTTGTTTCCTCTTTCCTGACTTTACTTATTCTAATCGATTTACACTATGACAAAAAAGTCACAAATAAGGTACACGTGTACATGTGACTATATTTGTATAGTGTGTTTACTAGCAAGAATAATAAGACTGTGAAAAAAATCCCACAGCTCTGCTTTTGTCTCTCAGTCAATAAAAGTTTTTGAAACAAATTTTTGGGGCTTTAAGAGGGGGCTCTTACAGAAACCGTTCAATTATATTAAGAGTCTCCGTTATTGTTACGCCATCGGGAACTGAAGTAAGGTAAGCAGTACAGCTGCCGTTTATTGTGCCTCAGAAAAGGGAGGGATAACCTTATAAATACACAAAATTTTAATCTTGAATTGTGTTGTATTCAGTCAGTGTTCAGTGTTCGTAATTCGTTCATTTTCAGAAAAATAATAATATAGTAAGCTATGCTGTCGTTGGAGTTGACAGACTTCTTAGAAAGAGTAAGTAGCATTACTATTTTTGCGTACTTAAATAATATTTATTGATATACCTTCAATTTTCTTTGCTAATTATTCGGAATCATGTTTGATTTAAACACATCGACTTTTAAAAATTTTAAGCTGGCAACTATAGACTTTGTTGATTCTATGCGAATTAAATTACCAAGTACTGGCAACATTGTGTCAAACTTTAGAATGATCACGTTTAAAATTCAGTGAATAGAGTTGTGTTTGTTTTATTTACGATAACACGGCGATATTGTTTAACAATTGTTTTTTCTTCAAAATGCAACAGTGAACTATAGCAAATGCAAGTACAGAGACGTTCGAAGGCATCGACGAGGAGGGACTTTGATGGTAGTTTAGAGCCGAATTTAGATTTGGTGTCTAGTAAAATAATGGAGACTAGATACTATGAAGGTTGCGGGCGGGAAGGCCCAATTCGATGTATATTCCTAGGGGAATTCCACCCTGTCGCAGGCCCAAAGATTTCATGCCAGGTACGTAACACTTCTAGGAACCTCATGAGTCATCGGTCACGCTGATTTAGATAGTCTTTTTCGCAATGCGCAAATTTTATCGATTTTTTTTCTAAGCTGTGCACATTTAACGTAATTCACTGTTTGTATTAATTCATTTAGATTTCTTTGAATAAATTTCATCTTATGCATGCGTAATTGTTAAATTGCTTCAAATTTTTTTTCTCGGTTTATGCTGTACAGCAGCAATAAATAAGGTTATTAGCATTAATTATTGCAACCACAATAATGATTGGAGTGACATTCCTTTCCCTATATGTGGGAATGACATTACTGTAATGTACATATTTTTTTTAATTGCTTAGATCAGTAGATGAGGTCATGGCCTACCAGGTGTTAAGTAGTTATTGTAGCCCATATACATTTACAAGTTAAATTCCATCATCCACCTTGAGACATGAGTTCTAAGATCTCAGTTTTTACAGTACAACAGCTGCATATTACTGCTTCACAACAGAAATTGGCAAGGTGGTGGTACCTACCTGCGTGCACTCATAAGATCCTACCACTAGTACATACTTTGTAATTAATTAGAAATGTAATATTTAACAAAAACTAGATCATCATTTGTTACTCCAAAAAAAAATTTATTATAATTAGTTTATTCTTGGGCCAAAAATAAATAAATAAAGTAAAAATAACGGAAAGAGTAAAGGAACATACACAAACTTACCAAACCATTAAAATATGAAAATGATACTTCCAAATTAAAATTTAAATTAAAAAGTGCACTGACTTGGAAGAATATTTAAATATCAGCCATAAACAATTAAAAATCGCACTTAAATTAAACTGTAATAGTATTGAAGTTTGTTCTGACTTTCTCAATCAGCAGTACTGCAATGTAGTAGGCACAATCTGAATGGTCAGTTCATGGATGAATTTGGGACACAGAAGGTTAATAATAGAATTAAAATCATACCCCATAGCAATGCAACAGTGTTGTTTTGGAAAATGAAACATGCACAGAACTACAATAACAATGTTGTTGATAGATCTTTCTGTTGTTACTAGAGAATAGTTGAGCAACCTAAAATCATATGATATTGGTCTTCCAGTTCATAATTGTGCTATCTGTTGCTCTAGTTGATGTTATAATAAATGATTTTTGATAAAGTAACTAGTAAAACAGTCAAAGTAGTTGACAACAAAGATACAATGTTGTTAGTTGTTTATGTGATTGCAGTATTGCAAGTGTCCATATCAAATAATGAGGTTATTGTTCTAATAAGTGCAGTTCACAACAAATATCTTTGTAATGATAACAGTATAATTTTAAATATAACATTCTGAGTATGTTACATCTTGTAAACAGTCTTTGTTTGTCATAATAAAACAAGTCTTATACTAATTGATAATTTTTTACTGCCTTTGAAACTACACACACTGCTTACTATGTAGTCAACAATCACCTTCTCTCAAGGGCATCAGCAATATCCAAGGTCACAAATGCACAAAATTGCCTAACTGCTGAGTATTCCTAAGAACTTAAATCCCCACGTATGTCACTGTTAATAAATAAAATATAATTAAAATGTTTCAGTTCCCGGAAGACTATATTTCAAAAGAAGTTTTCGATTCAATAAGTGCATACATCATTCCTAAACCACAAATACAAAAATGCACTATGACCATGTAAGTATTTTGATTCAAGGTGTGATTAATTTGAAATGTTAGAAATGTAGACTAAACTGGGCACAATTTAAAGCCTAAATGTTAGTGGTAAATCTTTTTTTAATTAATTAATATAACTAATAAAATTCATTAAATTGATATAAGAATATTAATTAATTACTGGATGAACCAACAAATAAACACATTAACCCTTTCACCTTGCTTGTCAACTTATCAGAGATTTAGTTGTATTAGCAAAAAAGCAAAAGTATATAAATTGGAACTAAGATTACCATTAATATTCAATTGCTAACATATTTTTATTTGTTATTTTCAGAAATGCACTAGGGCACAAAATTGTTGGGTATCCAATTCGCATAGACAACCCCAGATATGAACGTAATGTGTACCTCTTCAATATCTGCTTTGTATGTGATAGTTGGTCCAAGACAGTGCAGTATGAGCCTGTTGTCAAAAAACTTGGTGAGCATTTGGTAAGTAAATCACTGTTACTACCTTTATCCATATTGGCATTATTTTAATTTCAGCTGTTATGTAAGCCTGTTCCCTCCTGAGCTAGCTGTATTTAAATTACTTTTATTGCCCTTTTTTGACAATTGGAAAGCTGATGAGTGCTGTATTTATTAAAACCTCAGTCAGGAGAGTTATTAAATATGATACTTATTATAATTAAATATAATATTCTGTTCTATATAAAATGGGTAAATGGTGTCATAATCCCTGGTTTTAACTAGTTACTGGAGCCCATACATATCACAATATGATACATAGTCGAAATTTCGACTGTTGCATATAATGGCCGTATCCCACAAAACACAGCACATTCGCTGCATAAATATGGCGATGGCGACCTCAGGATGAGCACTACGAATAGTAACTATTGTATTCACTGTTATATCATTTGACAATGATAGGTATAAATATAGTTTGTCTGAAGATTTCTGAATTTGTAATTAGTATGGTTCAATATGCAGACTATGCAGTTCCCGTTCTAATGTATAGCTACCATTAAGTTATTAGAATTTTAAACTAGTATGGGTTAATATAAGATAAGACAATTAATTCATTGTCATGGCATTATTATATTATACGTAAATTCAGTACAAATCCAAAAATCCGGCCTACATTAGGGAGGACCTTGAAATTGTCAATTAATAAAAAGAAGAAAAAAGGCGCCAACAGGGTGTGTCATAATGTTCCAAAGGCAAACTTCTGGGTTTTAAAAATAGGGGAACTGTACAATGAATTCGCCCTTGAAACTCAACTAAGTGTATTTTTGTTATTTTTACACCCCGTTGAGGCTTAATAATCTTCGTTTTCCTTGAAAATTTAAGTTAGATATTTTTACTATTCTAAATAAAGAGCAATTAGCTGAAATTTTGCAGACTGGCGTAAATAATACTAACTATTTACCAACAACAGACTCAGCAGACTATTATTTATATAATATTATATACATATTTATATAAGGCTTGGTATTCAGTAGAAGATGAAAGTTTGTCTGACTCACATCTTTTATATTAATAATTATAATATTTAATTACTAGGGATCTTGGGGGAAAGGTCATCCCTTAGTCATGAATCTGTCATTAGCTTTAGCCAATGTAAAATAAACAATATGTTCACGCAGTTTTTAATCAAGTAAATTTAAACGTTTACAGACAATAATGGAAGAAGAGACCGGGTTCGTATCTAGCGGGTCGTCCAAACTGCCCACTTTGCTGGCGCATCTTCTACACGATCTGAACACTCACAGGAAGGCAACCTTAGTTGGTAAATGAACCTTCATAACATTAATATTTATAAAAAAATGAATTTGGCATTGCTAGCCAACTTAGTTTTTGGCTCCGGTGTCAGCAAGAGTCACAATGGTCGAATACACCAATGAAGGTACAGTCAGTGAACATACGACGTTATTTATAATAAGTAGAAACAAAGGCTATCTCAAAGGTTATCTTATTGTGATGTGCCAAGACGAATGAGATTCAAACATCAAACTTTATACAAAGTATTTCGAAGTAAGCACATTCATATCGAGGGGTGAAAGGCTGTTTGGTTTAAGCGACATTTTTGCAACTTTACAGGAAAGCCCTTTAAAGTTTAAAATTTGAAAAAAATATCAGTACAAAAAGCTTCTCCAGCTATTTGAAACTTAATTCAAGTTGAATGAAACACATCGAACTGCTGATGCGAATACCAAATAAAACACACCTTCAATTACAAAGATAAATGTCGCGTATTAAGCGAAATGTCGCTTAAACCAAATGGCTTTTCACATGTCGTTAAGTAGAGGAAACAAAGAAGGAAATTGTTTATTGTCCAGCGCAAACCCGAATTTTCTTCGTTCGCTTTGACTTATAAGTGGCTTTTCAGGGCTTATATTTGATAAATTTGTTTTTTATTTTCTAAATACATCTACGAGGATGTATTTGGCTATTGGCGTTCATGTTTCCCTAGCTAGTGCGTAGCTGAACCTAAACCCAAAAAGTGTACGTGATACTAAAAAACTAACACGAATTGTGAGAAAATGGTCCGCTCCTAAAATTGTCACATAACCTGGAATCTTTTAGTAACAATCAAAGTTTGAAAAGTTGAAGATGCCCGACAATATGTATCTAATATTTAGAAACATTTACATTACATCGTTCTATACTTTACTTGATATATTACTACTTGCGAACATTATGCATGGTTTTTTATACTCACGTCATTTGTAATTCAATTCTATTTTCTCTCGCATCACATTAAGCTCGTCAAACAAATCTTTGTTTTTTGCTATAGATAAATCAACATTTGACTTTAGTATATCTCGTTACCTCAATGTTGCCGATTGCGATTGTTGTTATTAATATAGGTACTATGTTGTCTGGTACTTATTCAGGGAAAAATTTATACTAACATTAGAACTAATAAACATCGTTTTAGGAACAAGAGCCTTGCATTATATATGCTTTTTTTACGAGACGTTGGGTTTCATAGGGTTTAAGAGCTCGTTAGCTCAGTTATAAAGTGCCTCAGTTATAAATCACTCATAGGCCTTCAAATTCAATTCAAATTCAAAATCATTTATTTCAACTTGGATGTCATCAAAAACACACTTGTTGAATGTCAAAATGTAAAAGAAAATGTTAACTCTACCACCTTATGGGGAAAAAACAGAAAATATGTAAGGCATAAATGTATACTAAAAATTAATGCAGGAATTCATAGAACTGTAACACCCTATAACAAAAATGAAGCCCAGTTAAAAAGAGCATATTGGCATAGCACAGCGATGTGAGCGTAACAAACAAACGTAAATTAATAAAACAATAAAATACCGCGAATTGGAATTGGTTTTGTTTTTCAAATTGTAAGCGAATTGTTTTTAATTTTAATTGTTGAAGTGAGACTTCTTTAGGCGCGTTGAGAGTCAAATTTAACTCGCGACAGATTCGTTACGGCTAAAGAGAAAAGATACAATTTAGGAAGAGCGAGAGTGAGAAAATAGACAGAGCGTCTCGCGAACCACTCGACCGTGGAGAGAGGGAAAGGACAAAATGAGCTAAGTCGTTTCCTTATACACAGCATTCCCTATTACAAGACAAATTTAATTTAAGTATGGAAAATGAGGAAAACCTATACTACACACCGCAAAAGAAGTTTCACTTCTTTCACGTGCACCAAATTGCCGCGAATTTTTTTTTTCTTCTTTAGAACCAAGGTATTAAATAGGAGATAAACTCATAAATCGTTTGTTTGTGGTTGGCACGTCCAGAAACTGAGATCTGGTTTCTGGTCTGACAGAACGTGGCCGTTGATGACATCCACCTAAACATTGACCACCTGTGGCTTATCTACTTCAACAGAAGGAGACACAGTCATGCACCTCAAGGTCTTGGAGGTCCGCAAAGATCCACCTCCAGTTCACGACTACGACGTGCCCGTTTTGGTGGCGTCGGTGGGCCTACCCCGTCCTGGACGACCTCGCAGGCCTATCCCACCCGAGGGTACCGAGACACAGAGCCAGGAGCATTTGGATGTAGAAGATGACGAGCCTTTTGAAGTAGACATGGCTGCTGAATGGGACCTGACTACCAGACAGGTGATTATTTTCTTTCGATTGAGGGTTTGAGGGTGTCTTGGTAGACCATATTTTATTTTATTTTAAAATTGTTTTATTACTAATTTATTTTTAGAAATATTTGAATCGTTGCATATACATAATAATATACACCATGTAATTTTACTTTATTATTTCACTCGCTCGAGATATTTGTTGTGTAACTTAATATATTCGGCACGTAAGCGAAGATTATACAATTTATTAACTTATCAGCTTATTTTATAAAGAAAATTAACTACGCTAAAAATATATATCCGAGAATCAGAGCGAGAGAAACATTTTGAGGAATACCGAGGAACAGCTCGTCACCTCCCTCGTCTTCTCATTTTTTCTTTACGGCAGAGAGACTTGGCCCTCAACGCCCAACTCAGTAACGCATTTGAGATGTGGCGTTGGAGGAAAATGCTCGGGATTCATTGGACAGAATACCGAACCAGCGAATCCATTTTTACCGGAGTGCAGAGGAGTTTAGATTTCGTTAGATACATTTCTAGAAGGAGAGGTGACAATTTATAAGAGTTGCTAATAACAGGCAAGGTACGCGAAAGAAGGCCCAGTGGCCAGAAATCCAATGCGCTGGTCGAACCAGATACGCTCTCCTCTCAATACCTCTGTCCACGATGCCGCGCAGCCGAAGCTAGGCGGTGCTGGCGCAAGATAGTCTCGGAAAAAGTTATTAAGGGAGGTCACGACCCTCAGCATTGAGAATTATATATGCAATGAAGAGGACAATAGGTACTCGTATACAATAAATGATACTTTTTATCACGGTCAGTGGCATGATCCGAGCAACTGCCGGGTTAGTTGATATTATAAATAGGAACGGTCACTGCGTCGTGGTTGTACTGGACCAAACTTAATTCCGACTGGATAAAATACTAACACTGGTGCTCCGCGACACCCCGCTGGAACAGAACCAACGTCTATGCTGCTATCAGGCGATAGCAGCGATGACGTGAACGCCGGCTGCAAATGCCGTCGCCGCGTTGTACCATCCTTCGGGTACCAGTGCCCTAGAGTGACGGTAGCATGCGGCCCAGCTTCAACTCCCGCAAGTCACCGCGAGCGTGTGCTCTGCCGTGTTGTCGCGGCATCTACTGCAGTGATGGCACTCCGGTATCGACTCCCTCCGGGCAATGAGGTGCAAGTAGCGGCCAAAGCGGCCAGCCGTGTCCCGTAAACACCTGCGTCGTCGGAAGGTGAAACGTCCTCGCTCGCGATTCACCAAGTTCGAGAGGATCGGGCGGATGGACTCTATGGGTCCGTCGCTCGTGGGTGGGGTCCGCAAAGCGGCGACTACGGCCCGCAGTCGAAGTAGAGACCTCGAATTCCGCCGCGCTGAGTTCCTCAAATCCGCTGGGTCGCGGCTCTTCCCTGGAACGAAGGTCGCATTGGAATCGCGCAATTCCTCAGCGAGCCTCTGCCTCTGCCTCCGCCAGAAATATTAATCACCTGGAACCAGCTATACACGGTCATCTATTCCTAAACTAGTATTCTATGTACCTGTTCATCACATCACACATATTGAAACATTATCATCGTTTTGACATAAAATGATGTGGCCGTCCACGCAGTATTCGCAAAAATACAGTTCAAATTACATGATGAAATCTTTAAACGTAAAAAATCTTGTCTGTGGAAATAAATATAACACAACATATAGAGTTTTTTAAAGATATCTTAGGGCTTACAGCTTAAAAGTGACTCACTGGTCATTACTTGATCGATGACTTCAAATAAATGCAGCCGTAAAATGAAGGTAACTTCTAAAGCGTTATGCAAAGCGCACATTTTTTAATATGGGCTTAAGCTACATTAACTTATGCGATGGTTTGGTGGGATGTTAGCAGTCAAGGAGTACCTCGGGTCATAAAGGAAATTATGTTGTTTTTACAGCGACGCTGGCTTCATTCTCTTCAGTGTTTTCGTAGTGATTAAGACTCACTATCCAATGAATTATATTTATTGGATTTCAAGGAAGGAGTACTGGTGGCATTTCCAGTTTCATCAAGACAGGTGGACGTGCAAGAAGGGTGGGATTTGCTAACAGCTGCCCGATCGCCCCCGAAAGAGACCTAACTGCTCAAAGACAGCTGCTTCACGAATGCATCTACTACCGGATCGGAATCGCGACCCGCTAAGAAAATCCGGCGAGAAACTCAGCGGGCTGATATATGGATTAGGTTGCGCGTCAAACTCTTTGCTGAGTTCGACTACGGTTACCAGAGTCCCTAAGCCTGCTCTTAGTTTTAGAGCTGAAAGCATCTAATTTAAGAGGTATTGAATCTGATGAAACCGTAAAAACGTACCTAGGGCGTCAACGGTAATTGTTCTTACGTGTACCGGATTCGGGGAGTTGTCAGCGGCTGCAACGTTAGGCGATTATCGTGACGGATGTATTGTGCGACAATAGTTAGTCGTATTTATAGTAGAAAAGTGGAGGTAACTTAGTCATGAATTCTTTTGAATACCGTTATAAACAATTGGTTACACGCGTTGGGCTTGTAATAGTTAATCAATCATATCAACATTAAGGAAACAGTTAACTTTAACTAATGTTAGTTAACTAAACAGTAATGTTGCGCAGACATGGCCATTCTGACCGGCGATGCGAGCCTTGCACCAGCTTGTGCATACTGTCAGAGAGTTCTGATGTTTATCTGAAACAAGATAAGGACTCCTTCTGGGATTGGCACATGTGTGCCTTTTTGGCGGTGTACTCTGTGGCACTAAGACGGTTCGTCTTAACCATTTAGTTTAAGTCGGTTGACACACTGTAGTGCCTTGGCCATTTCGTAAACTTTGGTACTTATTCGGGCACTTTTACGTGGAACCAACTACATATACGAGTAAATGTTGTCATTAGTAAGAGCCATCAGGAAGGCTCTCACCGTTATTATTAAGTAGCGTTCATTTTCAAGAAACCTAGGAACCTGGTTAGGAATACTAAATTTAAGAAAAAGAGAGCCTTTGTTTCTAGGGCGGTAGTTGTTAAAACAAAGTACCCTTCATCTTTCTGCGACATCTTCTGTTGCACGTGACTGGTGTGGTTATATTTATTGAAATAGAAACTTACCCTTCATCTTAATTAGACGAGTATCTGGTTTTGTTACTCGCCCATTCTGACTTGCGAAGTAGATTGTAACTAGTCTGGCCATAAATACTGTTACATAAAAACTTTTCTTTTTTCAACTTTTTAATTATTTTGAATTTGGAACACGTATATTATTTTAAAAACTTCTTTCGATTTTGCTCCATTTCACATATTTTTCCTGATCGTTATCAAATTATAATATGGAATGGGGTGTTAAAGACGAAAGGATTCAGTGATCGCCTTGCACAAAGTGGGTATGGAGCCGTCGGCCATATTCCTTCACTTCAAAAGCTTGGTATCAGCCGTATGTTCGCATATCGTACTATCAACAAATACAACGACACTTCGTCTGTCTAAGACCAGAAAAGATCGGGGAGGCCGCGAGCTGTTAGAACTACAGAGGCTGTTAATGCTGTTAAAGCCAGAATTCGTCGAAACCCCATGAAGCAAATAATCTTATCCCGAGAAATGAAGATTCCCACTAGTACTCTGTCGCGTATTATAAAACAAGATCTGAAGCTCGGTGCTTATCGTCAATATAAGACATAGGACATATCTAGGATTTGCCCTAAATCAATCTTTACAATTAAAGAGAGTGGATCGATCAAAACACCTTCAGTCGCCATACGCAGGTGAAAGGCACAGAAATATCCTCTTTACCGATGAAAAAATTGTCACGATTGAAGAATACTTCAATAAAAAAAATTACAAAGTCTACTAAAGTGGTCGGAAATGTACATCGTGGTCATCATCATGCGTCAGTGATGGTTTGGTGGGGCGTGACTTATCAAGGAGTCACAAAACTACATTTTTGTGATAAAGGGGTGAAAACTTCAGCCAAAGTGTATCAAGATACAGTCTTGGATCAGAGCAGGAGTCTGCACCTGGTCACAAGACGCGAACTACCCAAGCCTGGCTTGAAACCAACGTTCCGGACTTTATAAGAGCTGAAGACTGGCCCTCATCTAGCCCAGACCTCAACCCTTTATACTTCAAATTATGATCAGTTTTAGATTTCCTTCGAGGCGGTGCGTGTGTTGGCGGAGACGCCGCCATGGGAGCTGGAGGCGGAGTCGCTCGCTGCCGACTATCGGTGGCGCAGCGAGCTTCGTGCTCTGGGAGGGGCGCGTATCCTTAATAGTGAGTTGCGGGCGCGGAAGGCCCATTCTCGGCGGTCCGTGCTCGAGTCATGGTCGAGGCGGTTGGCCAACCCCACGTGGGGTCTACGGACCGTCGAGGCGGTTTACGCGGTTTTTGATGACTGGGAGAATCGTGGTCGAGGATGCCTCGCCTTCCGTCTGGTGCAGGTGCTAACTGATCACGGCTGCTTCGGGAAGTACCTGCACCGGATAGGAGCTGAGCCAACGACGAGGTGCCACCATTGTGGACCCGACCTGGACACGGAGCATACGCTTGCTGTCTACCCCGCTGGGAGGTGCAGCGCCGTGTCCTTCTCGCAGAGATAGGACCGGACTTGTCGCTGCCTGGCGTCGTGGCGTCGATGCTTGGCAGCGACGAATCTTGGAAGGCTATGCTCGACCTCTGCGAGTGCGCCATCTCGCAGAAGGAGGCGGCGGGGCGAGTGAGGCAAAGATCTCCTCCTTTTGGACTCCATCGGCTTTGTGCGGGAAGGAACCTCTAGGCGTGGGGTGGCGTGCTCGGCACGCTCGCCCGTAATTCGAAACCGGTTGATGGTAGGCCGCATTTCCTCGACCGCTCTAGGGGAAGGTGTAGCGCGGCACCATCAATGCGAGCTCTTGGCCCGTCGACCGAGGGAACCGACGGTCGTGTCGCTGGCGGCCGCCGGTCCGGCGTCCGGGGGACGGTGGGATGGATGTAATATACTCTGCGTTAACCCTGTCCCGCCGTCTAAATAGCTCCGACTGGGTACCGCCCGGTCCGGGGTAGGGTGCCGGCTGTGAGCGACAGAAGTTTTTAGTGAGGTTCAACTCTCAATTACCCCACCCGCACGGCGGTTGGGGATCCGGCGATTTTCTCCTGAGGAAAAAAAGATCAGTTTTAGCGGACATAGCCTACTTTAAACGACACGGCGACATTGAGTCTCTTAAAAGATCTTTGTAGCAAGCAGTGGCGAAATTTCCCTTGAAAACAGTGTGTAGATCCATAGATTCGTGGCCAAACAGATTAAAGGCATGTATGTATAAAAGCCAAAGGTGGCCATTTCGAATAGAAATTATTTTTATTTTTTTGGTGAGACTAATAAATATGTAGGTATAAATTTTAATAATATTACACTATTTCATTAATTATGTAATATAAATACAAAAAAAAGGGGGTATGCACAAAATAGTGTAGAGGCTGTTTTATCGCCGGCCGGTAACATAGTGACGACAAGCCCGAACCCGAAAGGTGCTGAGTCATTTAAGTGTCTAACTCCCTTTCCTGCACAAACTAAGACAGATCAGGCAAGTACGCTTGCTTCCAGTAACTCTATGTCGATGGAACGTGAAATATGCGCACAAATGTCAGAATCATCGGACAGTCAACATATAGTTAATATTGACAGAATACAAAACCATTTAACCTCAAAGTCGAAGGAGCCCACTATGGCTGATATAGTAAGACACGGCAAATTTATACTGAGAGATAAACCAAACGATGAATGGATTTCTGTACAAAAACGTAGGTTAGAAACCGTTTTGCGGGAAAAACTGGGAAAGCTGTGACGAAACTAAACGGGAAATTTAAAGCGGCCGAAATCAAAATCCCTTTGTTTATCTCTAACGTAAACAAAGAGACCACCGAAGATGATATCTGCCAATATATTAAATTTAAAACATCTGAAGTTGTTTCGTTGGAAAAAAATTATAATGAAAAAGGAAAGACCCTATAATGCATTTAAAGTTTTAGTGAACAAAAACAAATTGAAATGTTTTTGAACGACGAGATGTGGCCCGATGGAATTACATTTAGACGTTTTATCCATTTTAGCGGTAGAACAAAAGAAGGAGAAAACGCTTCACAAAGCGGTGAGTTTAACAATATAAATGGATAGTACTGCAAAAGTGAATATAATTACATTTAACTGCAAAAATGTGAAAAGGTCGTTGAATTGTGTACGTACATTGTGCAAGACGGCTGACATTATATTGCTACAAGAAACTTGGCTATATTCCCATGACTTATCTTTTCTTGAAAATATCCATGAAGAATTCAGTTATACTGGGAAGTCCTCAGTCGACACTTCAGCCGGTATTTGTAAAGGCAGACCATATGGAGGCCTTGCCATATTATGGAGAAAAAGTGCATTTAATTACGTATCTATAGTGAAAAGTCAGAGTAATCGAATATGTGCTGTAAAAATATTAGTTAATAATCGATCATTTATGGTTATTAATATGTATATGCCAACAGACTGCAATGAAAATTTACCAATGTTTGCACAATGTCTTGGTGAAATGTATTCTCTAATAACAAATTGTAATATTGAAACTGTGTTTGTGTTGGGGGACTTCAACGCACATCCTGGTGAGTCTTTTTGCGATGAGCTTATTGGTTTTTGTACTGAGCAAGAATTAATATTTGCAGACATAGAGTATCTTGGTGCATTGTCGCAAACTTGTACTTTTATTAGTGACTCGCATGGGTGCAAGCGTTGGCTTGATCGCTGTCTTATTACACAGTCTGCGTCTAATGCAATCCTGGATATTGAGATTATTTATGATTTATTCTGGTCAGACCACTTTCCATTAAAAATTATGTGTGATATAAATGTTATACGAGAAAAAAGGTGTGATATTAAAGTTGCTTGTAGTGGGATACGTTGGGGAGAAAGAAATATAAATGAAATAAATAAATATTTAGATTTATGTAATAGTGAATTAAAGAACCTAGACTTAAAAGATTTTGAATTATGTGCAGATAAATTTTGTGATAATCTACACCATAAAAGTTTGTTAGATAAAATGTATAAAAAAATTGTAAATATATTATATAATGCTGCCTGTAATAGTAAAGCACCGGGAGGTATTATAGGAAAAAACAGAGGTATAAAGGGTTGGAATAAACATGTAAAAGAATTTCATAAACAAGCAAGGATTATGTTTAAATTATGGATGTGGTATGGGCAACCCAGCTGTGGCCCTATTTTTGAGGACATGAGAATAGCTCGTAAAATCTTTAAATCTAGATTAAAATGGTGCATTGAAAACCAAGAAAAAATTGAAATGGACATTTTGGCTTCTCTTCATTCAAAAAAAGTTTCTCATCATTTTGGAAGAGTACTAAAAAAATTTGATAAATCACCAAGTCTTCCAGTTAGCGTGGAGGGTGAGAGTGACTACATTGGAATAGCAAATATATTTAAAGATCATTTTAAAGTAATTTCTCCATTAAAAACAGCATCGTTGAGGAATGGTGCTGAGTTCTGTCAATCAGGTTTGCCAGTTTATTTTACATGTAAAGAAATAAAAACTGTGATAAAGGGTATGAAAAGAGGCAAGTCTCCTGGTAATGATGGACTCAGCATCAAGCATTTCCAGAATTCTGGTGTTCACCTGCCGAGAGTTTTGACTATGTTGTTCAATTTGTTTGTAGGGCATTCTCACTTACCAAGGGACATGTTGGACACAATAGTTGTACCTATTGTAAAAAACAGGACAGGAGACATAGCGCACAAGGGAAATTATAGACCAATTTCACTGGGAACCGTCATAGCCAAGGTGTTTGACAGCGTGCTTGACTCGCATCTCAGTAGATACACTAGACTACATGATACACAGTTTGTATTTTGTGCTGGGCTATCTACTGAGAGTGCCATTTTTGCACTGAAGCATGCTGTCAAATACTACACTGATAGGAAAACACCAGTGTATGCCTATTTCCTGGACCTATCAAAAGCCTTTGACCTTGTTTCCTATAATATCTTGTGGGAAAAGCTACTGGGAGAGGGTGTACCTCCTTCATTTGTAAATATATTATCTCTGTGGTATGAGAAGCAGAGGAACTTTGTAAGGTGGTCCAATGTACTGTCAGACCCTTACAAACTAGAATGTGGTGTAAGGCAGGGTGGTTTGACCTCCCCGAGGCTCTTTAATATCTATGTAAATAAGCTACTTGAAGAGCTCAGCAGCACACATGTTGGTTGTCATGTAGATGATTTATGTCTTAATAACATTAGCTATGCAGATGACATGGTGCTGCTGAGCCCATCAATATGTGGGTTAAGAAAGTTGCTTTCCATATGTGAATCCTATGCTGAGGATCATGGCCTAAAATATAACCCTAGTAAAAGTGAGCTGTTGGTGTTCAGAGGTGTAAACAAAAGTCCACCTCATGTCCCGCCTCTAATGCTCGGTGGCTTACTTGTACAAAGAGTAACACAGTTCAAATATCTAGGGCATATTGTAACTGAGGAATTAAAAGATGATATGGACATGGAAAGGGAACGCAGGGCATTGGCTGTCAGAGGGAATGTAGTGGCACAAAGATTTGCGGGTTGTTCAGTGCCGGTCAAAATTCCCCTCTTCAAGGCTTACTGCCAATCCTTTTACACAAGCGGTCTTTGGGCTACTCATACCCAAAAAACGGATAATGCCCTGCGCATACAATATAATAATGCCTTCAGGGCGTTGTTGAGGCTTCCACCTTATTGTAGTGCATCAGGCATGTTCGCCGATGCGCACACAGATGACTACTTCGCGATAATGCGCAAAAAGATGGCATCCATTATTCGTAGAGTAGGAGGAAGCACCAACAACGTCTTGAGGGTACTAGCTGAAAGATTGGATGGCCCGACCCTGGGTAGGTTCATCAAGTTGCATGTTCTACATGCTGCTTGATGGGGCTGCCAGGGCCGAAGTTGATTTATTTATTTAAATGCTAACAGTTCGTAAGTTCTTTGTAATACTAACACAATATGAGACTGATTTCTTGAAATAAAAGGTTTTTTATTTATTATTATTAAAAAAATGCATTTACGTTTGTAACAGAACTTATGGAAGGACTAGGTATAGTGAACTCGATTAATGTTTCTCACAGTTGACTCGTTTCTGTCTACATTCTCTAATCGAGTCATTCTATTTACAGATTCTACCGTACATCAATAGCTACAACCACGTGTCCAAGATAGCGGCCGACACGAACGTCGAGAAGACCCTGGTTAAATCCTGCATTCAGAACTTGGTCTACTATGGAGTGGTGAGTACAATCTATACATATAAAAATGAATTGCTGTTCGTTAGTCTCGCTAAAACTCGAGAACGGCTGGACCGATTTGGCTAATTTTGGTCTTGAATTATTTGTGGAAGTCCAGAGAACGTTTAAAAGGTAGAAAAATATGAAAATGCTCGGAATTAAATTAAAATAACATTTTTGTTTTTCCTTTGATGTATCCCCCGTCGGACAGATTCCTTTTGTTTGTTTTAAGTTTACTTTATACAAAAGTTTAGGTCTTTTATTTATCTATTGAGGCACTACGAAGCCTGCCGGGTCAGCTAGTATTATACTAAGAATCAAAATCATAAGACTATTTTTAATTTATCATGGCCATTTTGATACTTTATATTTTGAATTTCTATTTTTAGAAGGCAAGAAAAAATTTAATAGTATGTAATGATCTGTAATTCGATTGTTTCGTAATAAGTTAACAATTTTTTTTTTTATTTAGGAATGACTTACGTATGAGAAGGAACTTTTCTTATCTGGAAATGTGCCGATATTGGAGATGATACTGCTACTGAGCCTCTAAACTGAAATATCCACATTAAAACACAATGTAATTAGTAAACGTGTGCATTTACATAACTCTTCATTTATCCGTCCTATTGTAGTTTTCTATATTCAAGCGTTAATAAAATTCTTCTTGAATCTAAGCAGATGTTATAGGATTAAAAAGAAATTATAAAATACTGTGGAATTTGAGACTCCGGTTTCTCTGTATCTAATAGTAAAATAAATTTAATTTTCAGCTCAATTTACTATATCTGTGGTTAAAAATAAAATCACCAGTGGCAATTGTATTTCTGTTCGTGACTTATATACATATGCAGACTGAAAATGATCTCGAATGTGCTAGAATGTTACGTCGTTTTATAACAAAGGTTGGGGTATGAAATATGATTTGAAATCTTTATCTGATGTGGACATCAAAATAAACAAAACGTCTCTTGTAGCTCGAAAACATTGTTTAACGTCGAGACCTAAGAAAATAAATTGCAAAGAAAATATATAACTGATAAGAGTACGCTGATTTCAAAAATTACTTACTGACTGAAGAACTGTGTTGTGAAACGTATCAAGATTATAATAAATTTAAGATCTAGTCTGGATAAAGAAACTTTCTTTTTATTCGAATAGTCTGTAATAATTGAAAGACTAATCCGCACTTGTTAACATCTATTTTATCATTATTTTTTTATTGTTTAGGTAGGTGGACGAGCTCACGTCCCACCTGGTGGTAAGTGGTTATAGGAGCGCATAGACATCAAAAACGTAAATGCCGTCATCCAACTTGAGACATGAGTTCTAAATTTCAATTTTATAGTACATCGGCTGCCTCGCCCTTCAAACCGCATTACTGCTTCAGGGCAGAACTAGGCAGGACGGCGGTACTTATCCTACATCCTGCGGACAGAATGAAAAGCAGTCTACGTCGCCCAAAACACGTCATTTCGGATTCTCCTGATCCACTAACGGTGCTTTTAGGTACCTCAAGCACTGGTCATCGTTCTCGTCGAACCCGTCGCTTGCGACGAAGGACTCGACGAGTAAATTAACCCACAAACACAGGCCACTGAGTTTCTTGCCGGATCTTCTCAGTGGCTCGCGTTTTCGTTCCGGTGGTAGATTCTGCGAACCACAGCTCTTGCTAAGATTCGTGTTAGCAACGTCGTTAGGTTTGAGCCCCGTGAGCTCACCTACTAGTTAAGGTTACGCTGAAATAGCCTGTCAAGGCTCAGCTCAGCTCAGCTTAGGTAGGAAAAAAAAAGGTACCTATCCGTGCGGGCTCACAAAACGCCCTATCACCACTCATAATTCCTATTTGTTATTCTATTATATTAATCTAAACTGTTCGTCTTGAAATAAATAAACTACAGCCAGTGTCGGCAATCCGATCTTTACTCTGAAACAGTTAATGGAGAAAAAATGGGAGTATGCACAAAGTATTCATTCGCTCTTTGTTGATTTTGCTAAGGCCTACGACAGCATAGATAGACCGACTCTATATAGAATCCTCACCCGCTTTAAAATCCCACAGAAACTTGTTAGAATGGTGGAGGTTGGTACTAGGGAAAGTAGAATGACGGTACGAGTTGGCGCTTCTCCCACTGATGAGTTTGACGTTGTGACTGGACTCAGGCAGGGGGACGCTCTGTCACCAATGCTGTTCAACCTAGCACTTGAACACGCCATACGCAAAGTGAACACACTTAATGGCGGAGTGTGGCTCAACGGACAGCATAGGGTGATAGGATATGCCGATGACCTCGCTCTACTTGGAGAAAGAAAGCAGCACGTAATAGACGCACTCAATTGCCTCCAACAAGAAGCCTCTCGGATTGACCTTCGTGTCAGCCACGAGAAGACAGAGTATCTTCACATGCATCGATACAAAAACATAAGCGAGAAGACCTAGTTGTAGGAAATACGAGGAGTGGCCAAAATCAGGTTCCTTGGCTGTACTGTAGCAGACACCAATGACAAGGAAGATGAGATCGAAATGGTGGTCCATGAGGTGTGGGGAGTAGATGTTGTTGATTGAAACACGTATTGTCTGTACGACGACTTCTATTATACTGCACTACTGACTTACACACTACAACGTGTACAAAATACCCTACGATGCAGTGCAGCCCTAAATCCGGTTCTCTCTTCGAAGCTACTAAGCAGGCGCACCAAGATTCGGATATACAAGACTGTTGTCAGACCGATCTTATTCTATGGATGCTAAGCATAAACGCTTACACAGACAGAAGAGGCAAAACTTCTCGTGACGGAGCGAAAGGTATTGAGAAAAATACTAGGGCCAGTTCAGAAAGAAGACGGTTCTTGGCACGTCCGGAAAAATTAGGATGTGCAGAGGCTTTTTGGTGAGCCAAATATTCTGGGGGAGATGAAGGCACGGAGGCTCGGATGGCTCGGACATGTAGTACGTATGGAGCAGGATCGGGCTGTGAAACGGGTGTACGCGGGTGCACCGGAGGGACGCCGCCCCGTAGGGAGGCCCAAGTACCAATGGTTTGACGCTGTGGTAGGAAATTTACGTAAGCTCCAAAAGTCGGACTGGCAAGGTGTTGCGAAGCGCCGGGATTAATGGCAGTGCTTATTGTCGGAGGCCCAGACCCACTTCGGGATCATAGCGCCAGCTCAGCAGTAGTGGTAGTAGTGTCAACAACGGGAAGCACACAAATATACCAAGCCAAAAGTATTTAAATTAAATAATTTATTGAAAAAAAAAAAGAACTATATTATTATTGTATTAATTAACGATGTACTATATCACTGTTTGAATTGTCTTTTGGCTGAATATTTTTCCGTTCCGTTTCCCGTAGCTTATTGACATGCGCGAACAAGAATTTACTGTATAACAATTATGAGGTAGTCGGATAGCAGCATTGGTCGCGTAACGGCGTGCTGTCCGACTTAAATAGTTAAAACAGTTTAAATTAAGTTTTAAAATAAGAAATACAACGAAAAAAACAATATTTTAAAAGTACTTTTCGGGAAACGGGAATCAAAAAATATAGTTTTCGAATTTCTTTGTTTTAAAACTACACAATTGTACCAAATATTGTATGCAGCCTTATTCTGCCACATAAAAACAGATAATATATATTTAAAGTGTGTAAAATTCAAATTCCATTCCATTTTTAACTAAGTACGTATTACGATATATACCTATAATACAAATAGCCGGATGAGTTGTATCTCGGAAATCGATAAATTATGTGTGCGCATGTACTCTCTCGACTCTGCGCATTACTTTGTTCCGCAAGCATGAACGCTCCTCTTGGATATAAATATTGATAATCACGATAATAATTTTAAAGGAATAAAAAAAAAACAAAAAAAAACACATTGTTTAAAGAAAGAACGGTATAATATCTGAGATTATTTTACGCAAGATACGGTTTGTGTTAGAAATTTAAAAAAAAATTGGTTTTAGAAATAAATGGTTGCGCCGCACTTTAGCATTAGGTACGCGGATGATTAACTTAGATTTTCACACGATAACGTCATCAGGATTTTTACTATTTTACCGTCACATTTCTTTATGTATCACGGATGGAGACACGTGGTACGTCGGGAAATGTACGGTAAAATATGATTGCATTTTCAACAAACCAATTATGCTGTTTTCATAATCAGACTGTAAATTATCACAAAGGCGTTCGAACTGTAATAATCTACTATTGTTGCTGAAACTGTTAGTGTATGTGGAAATGAACATGTTGAGTGTACATATGAATACTGAAGATCTAATCTAAAGAAGATACTGTAATGCACCATAATCTACGAAGAATGATGTTGAAGATTTTACTCGAGCTCCTGGGTGCGAGATGAAAGGTTCTGAACGGCTACTGGATATGGTGAGATTAATCCTCGTTATACACGACCATTTTTAGTTGCCAAAAATAAAAACATCGCGCTGTCGGAGTCCCGTAACCCTTTGTGAGAAAATTGAAGAACGGAACCCACATTAATCGATCAATAGTTAACTTTGACTCATGCAATCCTATCGCTATTTCACCCGTAGAGGAAATCCCCAGTGTACACAATTTCACTAAACCTTATCATCGGAAAGTATCTTAAACCCCGACTATGCATATTACGACATACATATATGCTCTTCTGTATTGCTACTGGTAATTTGTTTTTGGTAATTAAAAATGTTGTAGATAATAACGTGATTTACCTTATCACCATTGTTTACATATAGAGCTAAGAAGATTCAATGTTGACGAATATCTAAGAAATCTGATAGTCATCATTTGGTGTTGGGTACTCAAATCCAAAGCGTTGTACCTTGTAAAATTAATTAATGCTACGTGACCATAGAGAGTGTGGGTGATCTTAGAGCGCAATACTCAATCGTAGTCGAGAAAAATATTAAAATAAAAAAAAACATTTATTTTAATAAGTACATCGAGGAATACTCATAATATGTCTTTACCTATCAACTTACCGTTTAATAATAGGTACGTGCCATTTGAAAAGTAATCCAAATGAATTTCATTTTTAAATATATTCTAGGTGTTTTCGAATTTTGTGATTTATCAATTTACTCAAACGGAAACTTACCCCTAAAAAGTCGTGGTTACTGTTTAGTGGTTTACTCTCAGTGTAATTCATCACAGCTGCTTACGAAATAGCACCAGCATTACTGCGGAATTATACTGTGAAGAACTGGACACAATTTTGGAGAAGCTTGAAGATTGTCCGCGCTACTCCTCTGACGCGACAGCGCTCGACTTCATACAGCACAACAAACCTCCTCTAAGCTACAAGAGCTAGGGTTCGAAGTTTTACGCCATCCACCGTATTTACCAGACCCTGCATCGGCAGACTTGTACTTTTTTCAAAGTTTGAACAACTTCTTGACATTGAAGAAATTCATTAACCGAATGACGGTAGTACAAAATGCCTTAGAAGAGCTTTTCGTCCTGACTTCTTCAAGAAGGGCATCGAGAAATTACCACAGCATTGGCAGAGAATGGATACAAAGAGTGCATATTTTTGATTGATAAAAATAAAAAAAAAATAAAAAAAATAACATTAACTTTCTGTATACTGAATGGCAAATTCATAGCCAAATACTATATTTAATTTTATAAAGGTAAACGATGATTGTTTCCAGAAAAAATCTAACGACAGCCTACTCCTGTAAAAAAATGCGCATTCATTTATTGTGCAAAATTTGACAAAATTTGTGTTTTGATTTTATGATAAGTTTCATATTGTTTTGTGTATTCCTTAAGATGATTGATTAAAAAATGTGTAAAGCTTTAAATTTTTTATCACATATATTCTTTGTATTTGTTAACAATGATAATCAACAATTTGATAATACACATGTTTATTAATTTACTACTTTATTAAAATTAAATAGCAATATTTAAAAGAACTTTGGCTTTTGCATCTCTCCCTTTACATTCCTCTATTTTTTGAAAGTACGAATTATTAAAAAGTTATAAATTATTAAATTCGCAGTTCGACAATGTACAAAAGTCGAAAAGAATAGAGTTATTAAACTTTAATAAATATTTTTTTTTTCCTTGTCTTTTTTTTCTGGGCAAAGATCAAGTAGTGCGCTCCATGGTCTGAGTATATCAGATATATTTAAGTGAGTATTTATTTATTAAGTACACATGGAACTATCGTTCGATTTGAGTACCCCACGCCCTTGCCATCTCCTCAAATACAGTTATACGATGTACTGAGATGAATTAGTACTCCCTACTTATTGAACTCACTAATTATTAAAAATTATTTTGTGTAATTACAGGCATATTTTTGAGTTGAAATTTAATATGCCTCTTTCGTAGTAAATAACGAAGTGTGCCCAAATCTATAATTATGGACATAACTATTTACCTACATGGCTTGTTTGAAGTTCTTATTGGCAAAGTAAGAAAACCAACTATGTTCGTTGTCTACGTTTTATACTGAAATTTAATTTGAAGCTATCAGGATACGAACTTATCGAAAATTAACAATTTTCGAAATTATCTACCTCAGGACGCTTATATTTACGCGCATGTCCCAATAGTTCGTTGACCTGGGAATATCTGCAGTGCACAAAATGGCGGAAAGATAACTAGACAGCGGCTGCGCCGCACATGCTCGGAAAGATTCGAAAGTTTTGCGCATGTCTTGCTTTCCACTGGCAGTATGATTGTTTTTTTGAAAATATTGAATACAAAAACAAGAACAGTTCAAAACTGTTTACAAATAACTCGCAGAAGAAAACATGTTACTCAAGAGCATATGAAATTTGTTCACACAGGATGACGATGTTTTCGTTTGGCCTATTTGTTCTGATTGCGCATGTCACACCGCGCACGGATACAGCCTTCTACGGCGATACAGCTCTACAACGCGTCAGAATTTTGTTGTGTACTGCGGAGTGAACAACCGTAGTATACGACAGGATTCGAGTCAAAACCCTAGAATCTTTTCGTGTGGTAGCAAATGTTCTGTGATTCTTCTCAGTAGTTTGCGCTCTTGGCAGAGTGTTCGCGGTCAATATTTCGACTAGTGGTGGGCTTGATGAGACGTCGCCATTTCTCGCGTAACGCGGCCCTGCTTGTGCACACGTTGACGGAACCGCTTAGAGCTGCCTTCATTCCGTCGGTCCATCGTAACTGTGATCTGCCGCATTTGTGATAGATCTTTCAAGATTGATAATTCCGAATGTGCATTATAGAACATTTAATTGCAATGCATAGTAATGCCCGAGATGAACGATGGAAGTTGAAACGATTAACCTCATCCACGTGTTCATCACATGTTCTCCGTAATAAGTGTGTACGGCAAAAGAAGTATTATCACATCGAGTTGCGGTGACCAGGCTAATATTCAAGTTTGGCATATATTTATAATGTTTTTCTTTACGTGTTCACCTAAACTCCATAA